TTCCTTCCGAGGAGTGGCTGGTGGGTTTGAACCGCCAGTCTTCTGGTTAGCAGTCAAGTGCCTTAGGTACTATACTACCAGAGCTCCTAAGATACCGTATAGTCATTATAAATTCTTAGTAGTGTATTTGTTCCCAATCTCAGGTCCTGGTTAAGATTTCTTTATTTCTCATTAAAGCCTTAATATCTTGATTCATAATGTAACATATGCAGGAAAAGAAATCATATTCAATCAAATCCCATGTATCCATAAAAACAGGTGGTGGTGGTGGTTGCTGTTATGTGCCACCGAGTCAGACCTGACTCATAGTGACCCCTCCTTGGGTTTCCGAAGCAGTATCACTACGGAAGCAGATAAAAAGAGGTAGGGGTGTTCTTTTTCACTCAAGACAGTGAGAAAGACGACCATATTTACAAAGAATCTCCCTTGACCCCAAACTCTTCTGCTCTAAGACCCTAAGAAGTCCAATGCCGAGGATTTTAGCTCTTTACCAAGCCCCTCCAACCTCAGAGATGCACCAGTGCCGGAAGATACTCTTTCTCCTTCACTTTCGTTCTCAGAAATAGTCGATCAATTCAGTTTGGTCACTTCCCCTGCCCACCTCAGTCTTTACCACAGAGTTTACGTCTTCTGGAAACTCTTCCCCTCTCTTGTTCCCTTAGATCTCCGCGTCGCCCCACCTCGGGGCTCTGTCTAGACACCACTCTCCCAACCTGGTCATCTCAATCCCCATCTCTTCGAGCTCCTTTTCTAGACTCTCCTAACTCTTCCCTCTTCGGAACTTTGGAGACACCACCACCACCACCACTGCCGGTAGCAAACCATTCTTCAAGCCCCTCTAAACACCACCACCACTCCCCCCTCCCACGCCCATCTACACACTATGCTCCCTAGGTTCCTGCGTCTCTCAACTCCACTTCTCAGGCCCTTAGAGACCCCATCTACTTGGACCCGTTCAGACACTCTATCTAGTCTTCCTCCTCAGGCCCGCAGAGCCAGCGGTCCATCGTGACACTGCCGTCGCTCCGGACCCTCCAAAGCTCCGTTTTCCCGGCCCTGCCGGTCTTCCGTTCGCGCCCGCCCTGGCCCCGTGCCACCTTTACCACTGGCCAGAGTAGTGGACGCAAGTAGGAACGCCAAGACCAGCGGCCGCGTCACTCCTCCAGGGGCTTTTCTGCTCAGCCCCGGCAGCAGCTTCGCTTGTGCGGCCCCCCTCATCCTCCCTTGGGCGGCAGCAGCCATAACGGACTCGACCAGGAGCCTGCGCTGTTGCTAGGCTCTACGTCATGACGTCGATATACGTAAGGCGTCGCGGCCCTGGGTCTCTACGCCCCAGCGTGGCGACGTTACGTTGCAGCTTGGAGGGGGCTTCAATAAAGGGAATGAGAGGGTGCGATAGTGGGGTTTACATCAAGCGGGATCCTGGGAACTCGGCTACCGGTGAAGGGTGTGGTACGTAAGGTGCTGAAGAGGGTCAGATCGAGCCCCTCCTTGCCACCTACATAGTGAGAGGTACTGTTGTTTTTGTTGTTATGTGCCGTCGAGTCTGCCCCGACTCATAGCGACCCCTTCTTGGGTTTCCGAGGCAGTATCACTACGGAAGTAGGATTGCCCAACCTTCCTTCCGAGGAGTGGCTGGTGGGTTTGAA